TGAGGCTTCATGGCCCGAGCTAAATACTAGATGGCCCCGGGCCATCGGGCAGCCCTTAATGTCGAGCCCTGGTGATGTAATGTTCTTCCTGTGTGTAGGACCGTCTGGAGCACCTGAGGAAACAATGCGGCCCTCACCTCACCGCCGTCGCCAAGGACTCAGTGGAGGGAATCTGCTCCAAGATCTACCAGCTGTCTGTGGAGTACAGCCGCAGACTGAGGAGCATTCACCTGGCTCTGCTGCCAGACCCCCCCACAGGTACACACACACACACACACCTGGCTCTGCTGCCAGACCCCCCTACAGACACACACACACACACACCTGGCTCTGCTGCCAGACCCCCCCACAGGTACACACACACACACCTGGCTCTGCTGCCAGACCCCCCCACAGGTACTCACACACACACACCTGAATCTGCTGCCAGACCCCCCCACAGGTACACACACACACACCTGGCTCTGCTGCCAGACCCCCCTACAGACACACACACACACACACACACACACACACACACACACACACACGGCTCTGCTGCCAGACCCCCCCCACGGGGTACACACACACACACACACACACACCTACCTGGCTCTGCTGCCAGACCCCCCCACAGGTACACACACACACGGCTCTGCTGCCAGACCCCCCCACAGGTACACACACACACCTAAGCCTGCTCCTGGACCCCCCCACTTATAACACAGAGAGACAGAGACACACACACTCACACATACGCATATACACACACCTGAATCCCCCCCCACATGTAGCTGTTTGCTTGTGTGTGTGTTCTAAGTGTCTGTCTCTCTGTGTGTTCAGAGGCCAGTGGTTCCCCCCCCCAGCAGAGGTTGGTGTACTGCTTCCCGGTGCGTCTGGCCCCCCCCTCGCCCCCCCTCCCCCGCGTGGAGCTGCACTTTGAGAACGACGTGGCCTGCCTGCGCTTCAAAGGGGAGATGGTGAAGGTCAACAGAGGTCACTTCAGCAAACTGGTGAGTAACCACGGCAACATATAGCGGTACTGTCATCACCACGGCAACATGTAGGGGTAATGACCCCCCCTGTCTGTCTCTCAGGAGCTGTTGTACAGGTACAGCTGCATCGATGACCCTCGCTTTGAGAAGTTCCTGACCAGAGTCTGGTGCCTCCTGAAGAGATACCAGGTCAGCTGACTGTGTTAACCAATCCCTGAGCTCCCCTGACAGCCTATGTTTGGTAGAGGAGGGCTTAACGAGGTGTGTGTGTTTCAGGTGTTGTTTGGCAGCGGTGCTAACGAGGGCAGCGGCCTGCAGGGGGCGCTGCCGGTTCCCGTGTTCGAGGCACTGATGCGACAGTTTGGAGTTTCCTTTGAGTGTTTCGCCTCGCCGCTCAACTGCTACTTCAAACAGTTCAGCTCCGCCTTCCCCGACACCGACGGATACTTCGGATCCAGAGGGTGAGACCTGCAGTGTGTGGTGTTACAGTAATTACTGTCCCCAATATATATTGCAGTATTTTTAACCCTCTGTGTGTTTTCAGACCGTTCCTGTCTTTCTGTCCGGTCAGCGGCTCCTTTGAAGCCAACCCTCCCTTCTGTGAAGAGCTGATGGACGCCATGGTGACACACTTTGAGGTTCGTCCAGTTACTGTTTAATACCTGACAGGTTTAGCACAGGTGGGTGGTCTTAAACCGGGCTGTACTGGGTCTCTGGTCCCTCTAGGGTCTGCTGGAGAAGTCCTCTGAGCCGCTGTCCTTCATCGTCTTCGTCCCTGAGTGGCGCGACCCCGTGACCCCGGCTCTGACCCGGATGGAGGCCAGTCGGTTCCTCCGGCACCAGATGACCGTCACAGCGTTCGAACACGAGTACCGGTCCGGCAGCCAGCACATCTGCAAGAGGTATTGATGCTATTGCATGTAGAGTCAAGACTCAAAGGTTGTATCCTCAGATGCTCAGCAGCTACAGAGTAGAAATGACATTCTTCTGACCTGAGCTCCTCCCACAACGCAGCTTAAATAATAAAATACAAAAAAACAAAATATAGAATTGTGCAAGAAGTCAATATACATGTAAATAGATGTACACTACTCCTACTACTACATTACTGTGTATCTGTGTACTTTCAGAGACGAGATGTACTACATTCCTCTGTATCCGTGTACTAATGACTGTGTTTCTGTGTACTTTCAGAGACGAGATGTACTACATTCCTCTGTATCCGTGTACTAATGACTGTGTTTCTGTGTACTTTCAGAGACGAGATGTACTACCGGGCGGTCCATGGTAATGCAGTTATTTTCCTCCAGAACGACGCTGGTTTTTCTAAGTGGGCTCCGACCCCTGAGCGCCTGGCCGAGCTCACGGCGGCGTACCAGCCCTCCCCCTCCTGACCCCCCCCCCATGTCCTTTCCTGGNGGGCTCGACATTAAGGACTGCCCGATGGCCCGGGGCCATCTAGTATTTAGCTCGGGCCATGAAGCCTGAGGCTTCATGGCCCGAGCTAAATACTAGATGGCCCCGGGCCATCGGGCAGTCCTTAATGTCGAGCCC